TCGCGAATGTTGAGGGAGACCTGTATACTATATTCTAATAAATTTATTAAACTCACCTGGATTATTTTGTCTTCTACCAAGGAAGTTTTGCATGAAATGATGAACGAGCAACCATTAGCCTGAATAATAATATAAAGTAAATGCGTGCCCATCTCGTGTATTTATCTATTAATGGCTAGATTTAAACAATTTATCAAATCAAATATTTATGGGACAATGTGTGAATAATTTACATAGTAATTTTTTACAAGGACATATTAAGCTAAAGTTTACAGCAAGACAATGTAGCCCCTCATTTTTATATTATTAAATACCAGTATTCTACATACGTATAAACAAAATCAATGCGTGACAGTACTGAAAAGACAATACTGCATATGGTATAAAATATTGAGCATAAAAATTTATAAAAAAAACTTGTAAAGTCAGCAAAGTAAAGAAAACAAATGGGGGATGTATTAGAAGAATGTTAAGTAGTAACTTTATGAAATCAAAAAGTTTACTGAAAAACAAAGGAAGGGTAGAGTTACTTAAATGAAGTGGCCATCGAGTGTACTCTCTTGTATCATCACAAGACATGCACATTCCTTTTCAGTAGGAATCACTCTAGGTACATAAGAATGGAGGAACACTGGCGAGAGGCCTGACTGGCTCCATACAAATCAGATTCTTTATCACAACCACCCCTACCTAACCCAATAGTTCTACCCAAGAATTTACCCCTGTAACCCCAATGGCACCAATCAAACCCAGCCCTTCCACTAGTATATCTGTTACAATCCACTCTGAAGCTACCAAGGTCCTAGCCTCGATTACCCTACTTTGAATGAATTTAACAATTTTACAGTATTTGCATAACAGTAAATCTTCTATTTTTTGGTGTGAATAAAAATTCATTATGGTGAATAAAAAATCAAAATGGAATTTATTTTAAAGCCTCAAAACATAACTAATGAACAGAGGAAATGGGTAGTTTAGTGCCAGAATGCCTACATTGTTCATTCTGGACCCTATTTTGAAATTGGAAAATTTTGAACATTTGTGTTAAATTGCCAAATTAACAATTTCCCGATCACTTATTTTGTAGTTTGAACAGTTGAACTTGGCGATTTCTTGTGTCTCAAGTCGATAGAATCAGAAGTAATAACTAGTGAAATAGCTAAGAATTTGGTTGATTGGAATAATGAATTGGCTCTAAAATGGGAGTCAAAGGCGGAAATCGCCGATTCGTAAATAACGCTGACACATCAAAATACCGCGAGAGCATAATTTTCGTCAATAGTTTTCCACGCAAATTTTGGTACTTTTTGTTTTATTACCTCACAAAAAGAATTCTCTAAATACGATTTCATTAGAAAAAATAACAAATTTTTTTTTTGAAAATTCTTGGACACTGTGTTGACTCCGAGATTGGGCCTTGGACCCTGAAAGGGTTAAAAAAAGCGACCTTTGCAACAGTATTTTCGTATGTATAATAATTGAAGACAATTAACAGAAATTTGATATGATTTTGATTGGTTTCACAGCAAATACCTTGAAATTTGAGCTCAAAGTAGCGCAAATTAAGTTTGATTTTTGCCAAAGCTCAAAGAAACTTGGACTCCAAAATCGTAATGACACGATTGCAAACAAACCATACGCCCGCCCGGGATTTAAACCCGCGGTCATAGTCATGTTGAACGGCAGTGAAGGCTTGAGCTAGAGATCGTCCCGGCCATGCTAGCTTGAGATTTCGTCGGTGAAAACTTGCATTTGTGGTCACTGGTGCCTGTGCTACCTTCCTATTGTGTAGAAATATACCTAGGTTTGGATGAATCTCTTATTGTTGCTAGCTGGTCTAATGGCTAACCGAAGGGCTGGATGTTTTTGAGACTATACCGCGGGTTAATCCGGTCCGTGGTATGGTTTCCAAAAGTAAACAAATCATGCCATACTCCAATACACGTCAACAGGTTAAGCTAATATTCTTCCACAAGTGCGCTGATATTATTTTATACCATTTCTACACAATGCAGTAGTCTACGAACAGAAAATCTATTTTTTACGAGAAAAATTCAAAGAAATGTTAGAGGGGGCCCTGGGACCGTGACTAATGAAAACAGAGAAAATGTTATTTTTAGTGTCCAGGAAATGCTTATTTATTCTGGACCATTTGGAAATTGGCATTCTTTTGCAATTTGTGGTGAAATGGCAAAATTACCAATTACTGAACCAACTTTTTATTGGGATAATTGATATCGGTAAATGGTTGGTTTTCTTGTACTCAATTCGATACAAAAAAATGGAGTTCCTAGCGACATAGTTATGATTTATGTCGCCTGTACTGGAATTGGCCAAAAATAGGGCTCAAAGTGGCGAAGTGAGCCATGCGTAAACATCGACTAAGATTCGCTAACTTCATGAGTGCTTAATTCCGTAATTATCCATCAAATTTCATACTTTTTTAGTGTAGTGACACTATCATTATTCATAGAAATGTTTTCTTCTCGAAGTTTCCGACCCTGAGAAGTTTAGGAGGAGAGGGCCTCTCGACCCTGAAAGGGTTAATGGTAAGTTGCAAGCTTAAACCAAAAACTTTTAATTCGCCTCTCTCCTAGTTCTTCGTATACAGCTTTGGGTTGTGCCACATTACTAGCACAAACCACATTTTGCAGGTCCCTGGATGTTCTTGCAAGTTTAGGCACTTCTTTATTGATTAGTGGTACATGACCTTCATGTTTCATGTAGGTATCCCATTTCTCCGGACTATTTTAGCTGTAACTCTATCCACCTCGCAACTGTTGGCAGCAACGATGGTCTGAATTGATTCATAACACATTGTTCTATTAATCAGTGTTTTAGGATGCTGGTCTCTTCAGTCATGGTTGGGAGACATGCATTCCCATCTTTGCATTGGCATGTCTCACTTATGGTACATCGTGAGAGGCACTGGTTCCAGACACTGAGAATTGTCAGGTTTTCCAAATTTTTTGCCATATTCTATCTAGAATGTCTTGTCTATCAGCAACACACCATTTACCTGTCATCACTACTCTACCACCCTTTACTTTTATTTTCTCTCCTTGCTGATAGCCCTACCTTTGACATCACTCCCTCTTTTGCTTTGAAGAAACAGATTTATAAAACAAACATTGATTATCCTTCCTTTAGCATTTCACAGTGCCTTTACCAACTCTGTTTATACTCTACTACCCTCATATCCCTCTGATCAAGATATTACCCATTCAGGGTCAGTCCTGAATAGTAGCAGCTTGATAGCCCGTTGTAGGTCCTGTAATTTCTACGGCCAAAGTTTCTAGCCCTTTCAAATCTGGTGGAAGAAACTGGTAGGCCCTACATATAAAGAAATGGGTTCTCTCGTGGTCAGTGTGCCGTATAAAACAAAAAAAAATCCTGCAGCAACAGTGCATAATGAAAAAAAAAAAGAGTATTTTTTTGGTTTAAACGGTGACTTTACATACAGTGTACTTTGTATGGTATTTATGGTTGTAGTTCTCTTTTCTTGGTCCTCATTTGACAGAATGGAAGATATTTCACAGAAATAGAGATGAATTTTGATTGTTTCAAACAAAGAAAAGTACCTTGAAAATTTTTTTTTTTTGAGCTCAAATTAGCAGAAATGTTCAATTTTTGCTGAGTTTCAAAGAGTAAACAAATCGCGCCACCGCAATCAATACGTGTCATCCGTGAGTCGAATTTCCTTTCACAGTTCGCCGATATTATTTGTACATTTTTACAATAATGCAGTAGTTTGCATAACAGTAATTTTTTTTTTTTTTTTTAGAAAAATTCAAAATGGAAAGCAAGAGTATTATAAGAGGGCTAGGAGATGACTAATGAACAGAGAATGTTATTTTATGCCCAGAAATCTCTTATTTGTTCTGACCCTATTTTGAAATTATATCTTGAAATTGGCATGTTGCCCAATTTCTGACCACATTATTGGTAATTGGTAAAATGGGCAGTTTCTGTACACAAACGATAGAACAATGGATTGGCGAAAAATAGGGCTCGAATGGGTGAAATCACCAATGCATACATATTGTCAATATCGCTAACTTTGCGAGAGCGTAATTTTGTACTTTTGGTGTCATTACCAACTCTGGGAACCCCCTCAAGGAAGGTTCCTTGAATGTTGGTGAGGGCTCTCTATCAATTTAGGGAATTGGATCTGTGCTCCAGTTCCCCGATTAAGCCTGATGCCTTCCACATCCCCCCCCCCCAGGCGCTGTATAATCCTCCGGTTTTAGCGCTTCCCCTTTGATTATAATAATAATAATACCGACCGGGAAAAATCTATCATTTTTCGTGAATTTTTTTTTTTTTTTTTTTTTTTTTTTCCGACCCTGAAGCAAGATAAGGATCGGGGGTCTTGACCACCTCAAAGGGTAAACCAGAGCATTCCCCTACCCTGCAGCACTGAATGACCCCTATGGGTTTAGTGCTTAGTCATGATTACTATTACAACCATTCGCTCAACTATTACCAAACAAATCATTTTTTGTCTTTAACAAGAATAGGCCTACTGGTCTGATTGGCAGTAAGGTCCTTCACAAACTTGGCCGTAGTCTAGCTCTATATCTATTCAGCCTATTTTTAAAGTACTCAAGGTTTCAGATTCAAATCCATACTTAGGTTACATTTAACCAGTTGTTGTTACCAAACCACTAATTTCCTATATCCTTTCTCTAAATTTAAAGCTACCCAATGAAGCCCCTTCACCTAATGTTTAGTTTTTTTTATTTTGTGTGACCTCAAAGAATTATAGGAAAGCCACTGGTTCAGCAGAATAGTAGAGAGGGAAACTAAATTAATTATCTTTAATACTGATCTTTAAAATTAATTTAAAAGTACAAATATAAATCCCAAATATTTTTTAAATGAATAGTTTGCCTAAACTAATGATATCTGCAATGACAAATACCATATACGAACATGTTAGTTTTAGTATTTCAGGGGCAATAAATGATTGTATCCCATTTAGATAAACAAAAAATGGCATTATTAAGACAATGTAATTAAGAGGGAAAACTAGATGTGAACACTTTTTAAATCCAAGGCCAAAAGTGAGTACTTACCCTATGGGAAAGATATGTCAACTGCTTCAGATGATAATAAAAACTGGATACCCTTGAAAATTTACTTTATCTACATAAAAAATGGTATACAAATTACCAATGTTCAATTACCTTTAATACTAGTACTACAGTATACAGAGAGTACACTTTGAACATGCTTATGACTAGCAATGCTATATAGCCTTGATGAATAAACATGAGCATTTGTTTTTAATGCTACAATTTCTTACAACATTATATTAAGTCTTCAATGGACATTAAATATATGAATGGCAATTATTGATAAATTTGACAGGTCTTTCAATTTGTTACAGAAGGAAGAACAATGTCTCAACTACAAAAAAATGACCAACCTAAGCTTAATAACCTTGATAAAACTGATTTAATCCTGTAAAAAATGAATTATCAGTTAATGAATTTAAAAAAATAAATCCTTTTATAATGAAGACAATCAGTTCCATGAGCTGCTGTGGAATTTCTTGTATGAAAGAGCCACCTCCTTTATTATGGACCCTATCACAATTGTTAGATAGCACTATGCAGTTGCATTATCAAGAATCTTGCCAGGAGGAGAGTTGGCTGGTGTATTACAACATTATTGCATGGTTCTGAAGTGCATTTATCACTCTCTGAGACGAATCAAACCCATCTCTACCAGAGTCAAGAACCCTGCCTTTCATTTGGGGGTGGAGCAGGAAGAGCTGTAAAAAAAAAAAAAAAAAAAAAAAAATTTATATAACCCACTGTACTTCTTAATGTTACATTAAATTGCATGGTCACTTTTTCTTTATAAATTTAAGAATATACCCCTTCAGTGAGCAAGAACCCTCCCTTGAAGCGTAATCTAAAACCAAAACTTTCTCCTCCTCGATCAAATCTAAATAACACCCTATTCCCCCCCCCCCCCTCCTATTGTCTCATTATCTGAATATTTAAGAATTCTGTCCTCTTAAAAGGTGGGGGTTGGGGGGCAGGTCTCCGTTGTTACGGTAAGGCTTTTGGCTGAGTCTTCCTCTGACCGAACTTCATTACACCCCACTCACCCTTCCCTGCCCCCCTCTCATCCTCTTCACCCTCACCTAGTTATCAGACCACGCTTATTAAACCTTTAGCACCCTACCTTGCAGTGCTGTATGACCCATAGTAGGTTTTTGCTTAGTTTTGATTCTAATAAAATCCTTCCTTCCTTTCCTGCTTTTGGCCTTTGGGTCGCTCCCCCCAAAAATCTAGCTCCCAAGCTGGAGAAAGGGTGTCAGTTGTCATTCATTCCATTCCATTAAAGGCTCTGTTGGTGTTTGCCATGAATCTAGATCTGGGATGCTCTGATCCAGAGTCCCAGAGGATGCTATATGGTGTCCTTTGGGCAACGGGTGCATCTCTGGAGGCTGCCTTTGGGTTTCTGGGAGGTAGTAGCTGAAGAATTTTGCTTGTGGCATCTTCCAACTGCCCTCGGCGTCCGTTTCATTCCACCAAGGTGGCATCAGTGGATGCAAGTGCTATCTTGGATTGCTAGTTTTTACCAGTGTGAAGGGTAGGGTAGGGGCAGGGCACGGGTTTCATGCTGCATCTGCACTACTGGTTGCACCAAGGGCCCTCTTGGGTGCAGGGGGGGGGGGGGGATATACAATCCCTTTCATTCTCCTAGCTTACCCCGCCATGTACCCCCATAAAAGAAAAATTACCATAGTCCCAGTACCATGAAATTCCTTTGCCCTGGCCCCCTTTCCTCCCTGTGGCACCTGTAACTGTCCCTTATATCAATCTCAGAAACGTTCGGTACCTATCTTCAGGTAACATTTTGTTGCCCACGCTCTGTAGAGAGGTTTCTGCCCGAGCCTTTTGATATGTCCCAACCTCTGCATATCTTTGACATGCTTCTGGCTTCTCTCTACAGTGCAATGATTTTTAGACTCCTACATATCTCGTGACAGACCACCTCATGGTCTCCCACCTAAACACCAGTGACCATTAATGGGTTGGCACAGTCCCAGTTACCTCTCGCTCATCTCACTTCCTTACACTCTGACATTCAAGTACACAATGGGACTAAGTTCTTCACTCTAACAATATGACAACTCCCACTGACATTCAGATCACAGGAACTAGCAAGCACTCCTAGCCGTGTTGGTCAAAACGTTTCATTTCATCTCTTAGGAGTGGTTGTCATCACACAGTCCATTGTACAAAATGCTGGACAGACTCACCGATCTTTTTCCATTTTTACCTGTGCTTTCCTTTCACTAGTTGTAAATACATCTCTCAATTCTTGTCAGTGGAACCAAGTTCCTTCCACATACTATTGTTCATTTGATTTCCCTGACTCATATGCAGACATTATGAACAATCTGGCTCCAGACCTCCCAATTCTTAATGAGGCCCGACTGTTTATACTCGTAGGATGCCATTACAAGTAGAGAATTGATCCCTACACCACAATGTAAAAGTTGTTCTGTTCTGTTGTAGAATCGATGGTACAAGCACCCGGCCTGGCTCTTTCAAGAGGTGGCCTGGCCATGGCTCCCAGAATGGGAAGTGTTCTTGAAGGCATGCCAGCTGCCACAGCAGGGCAACAGTGTCTGAAGGCTGAGAAAACCGGCCCCCCATTACAGGGTCAACTGAGCCACGCCCTTTTAGAGGAGTTTTCTGAGATGTTAGGGGACACACACTTCAAGCTTGATTGGTCAATGAAGTTAGCTGGCCATGGGATGGGGCCATTTTTGGACATGAATTTTGGTACTGGAGACTTGGATCCACCTAGATCATTCTGATTTGAGTTGTCTATATGCTTTTTCTTGTGGTCCTTCCATCAGTATTGATGTGTTTCAGGTCAACATCGGTGAACTTTCCAGTCCCCGTCTTGTAGTCGGGAGGTGTAATTCTCTGCAGTACATTACATTTAACTGTGAGGGGCAGGTTGTGTTAGAGCAACACACCGGATCCCTGGCCAGCTTCACATCCAGGCCTGCTGAACTTGTCGTTGAACAGTTTCATCAAGTGGTTTGTTGTTGATTTGGTATGTCTGTTGGACTGTTTCTCTTGGGTGAGGTCGCAGATTGGTCCATTACCGTGGAGCAGTTTGTGGTGGTCTCATTGGTGGCTTTGGGATCATTTTTGACAATTGCTCTTAGGGTTGGTTGTGGAACTGCTGGGACAAACTTTCCTGGTGGTGAGACATAACGCTGTGGAAGTGAACTTGATTAAGTCAGCAGGTGAACAGTCCTGGAATATGAATTGATTATTATCAAAAAAGATAGCGCTAAGCCACAAGACTATACACCGGGAATATGAAGCTAGTCATGTTAGCCTGAAGAGTTCATTGATGACTGTTGAAGGATCCTGGTTTTGCTATATGTGCATGTGGGATATACATCATTCAGTAAGGATTTTTGTGGTTACCACAGTCTGGTATGAGTAGCACACTGCTGGTGGAGAGTATAGACTGCGTGGTCTTAAGTATTTTAAGTGGTGGTCTGCTTGCAGTTTTGTGATTGATCATATGTTTGAGACCTTGTAGTTGTTTTCCTGTTTTCTTGGTTTTTCTCGAGTTACATATTCTCATCTGCTGGACATTGGCAGCTAGGGGTGGTGCTCATTCTTGCAGTTCAAGGCATGTTTGTTGTAGTGGGAAAGTGGCTGTGCTTGGCCACCCAGCAAAACTCAACAGTGTATGGATTTTGAAGCAGAAAAACTAATACATTTGTCTAGTGATGCTAGATGTGTTTACAGGTTATGAAAACCAAAATTTCCAGTGCCACAAGCACATCATGTTCACTTTGGCAACATCTATGAAGGGCATGGAAAATGCATTAACCCAACTCGATTTGTTTTTGTCCCACATCTTGCACAACAAATTCCAATTCCAAATCCACTAAAAAAGAGTAAGAAAGCAATTTCCACTAGGCCCCTCTACTCCACCTACTTTTCCTCTGCCTGCCCTCCTAACAGTCCCGACAGTCCCCACTTTTTATTTTTGACTCACACTGATTTTTTTTTTTTTTTTACCAATTCTGTCCCCCTACCCACCTTTGCTTTCTTTCAGCTAATTCCTTCCCTCACCCCATCTCTCCATCATGCCCTATTGCTTTTACATCTGCATGCAGAGATATTGATCCATGTGTGCTCAACGCTTCCACCACGTAATTGTAACACTACCACAATTTAAACGTGGGAAAGAAAAATAACCATGACACTTATAAACTAAATATAGTAGATCTTAATATCACGGATTGCAAAAAAAATTTAGGGGTTCTGGTTAGCAGTAATTTTACAACCATGACAACAGTGCATAAGTGTTTGCAAATAAAGTGAATATTTTCTGGGTTCATACCAAGTACAGTGGACCCCCACCCGCATACCGTCGCCTCACATACGTACAATCCGCGGACCGCTCGCTTTATCGCAAAAATTTTGCCTCGCATACCGCTCAAAACCCCTCACTCGCTCCTCGTGTCCGAGACGCGTCCAATGTGCCCCTTAGCCAGCCTCACATGTGCCGCTGGTGGCATTGTTTACCAGCCTTCCTCCGCGGTAACATCCAAGCAAACAATCGGAACATTTCGTATTATTTTACAGTGTTTTTGGTGATTTTTATCATCCAAATAAGTGACCATGGGCCCCATGACAATGCTCTAGTGCCACCCTACAGCAATAAAGCGGCTAGTAGAGAATTACAATAGAAAGAAGAGGATCATTGATAAGTGTGAAAGTGGAGTGTCGTGTCGCCGACCTGGCCAGTTGTACAAGAAAACCCAAATCACCCATCGATACCTATTGTGGGCCAACAGAAAATGCCATCAAGTGAAGCTGTCGTGCAAAGGTTAACTGTTTTCAAAACAGAGATCGCAAGTGATGGAAGATTTTGAGAGACTCTTATTGGTGTGGATAAATGAAAAAACAGCTAGCAGGAGATAGCGTTCTCAAGCGATGATCCATAAGCCGAAAAGGTAGGAAGTTGCATGAGGAATTTAATTAAAAAAATGCTGCAACTCTAGTGATGATGTGAGTGAATTTAATGCCGATCAAAGAGTTTTGTTTGAGAGATTTTAAGAAGCGTAGTGGCATACATAAGTGTGAAAGGCATGTGAGCTGCCAGTTCGGACCACAAAGCAGCT